AATGTGCAAGCTTTAAAAGTTTGTATATGTATGTTGATAGTACAGGCTAAGAATTACTGAGATAAATTCTGTTGATCTAACTACTGTAATTTTTTTCTGAATCAATATATTAAAATTCTCTATTTTTTTTTTAGGGAAAACTGATAAGAATTAAGTCACTTCTGTCAGTGTGGCCTTTTTTGAGTTTCTCTAGAGTCCACTCTTATTTTTGTAAAAATGCATATATTTCTGATTTCATAATGAGTGTTTCTCATTCCTTATTCAAGGAAGATTCTTCCTAGAACAGGCATTATACATGTTGCATCCTTTTTATTGCTTAAACTAATCAAACACTCATTACAGTTTTTATGATGATGGTTAAATAGTATAAAAATCTTATTTGGCTCTAGGAGAGGAAAAAGGGTCAGAACTGAATGTGCTTGTGGCTTAGAAAGTGCAGCTCCAGAATAAGATGTGGTAGTCCTGGTTGCTACATGATGTTCTTCAAGATTAGTCTTGATGTCAGCAGACTACTGCACCATTGTGCTAGAAAGCAAGGATGGGAAGTGTTCATAAAATAACACGTGTTATGTTACACTTGATTGAATTGTTCAGTTCAATCAAAAGCAAGCATAGACCCTGAGAGAAACCAGTGATTCATGACAGGAATTTACTGTGAGCTGTTGAAAAATGCTTGGATAAAAAGACAATGTTGCTGTTAGATTCTTTGAAATTTATAATAGCTGAAGTTCAATGTCAAACTAGGTGTCACTAGTCATCATTTGTTTGCAGAGAATATTTCTTGCAGTCTTGCAGCTGCATGTTTACATTGTGAACAGGTGAACCATAATCTAAGCTGGATAATAAACCAAAACCTTCGTTGTACATGTCTGTTTAAATGTGGGATACTCCTGAATTTTTAAGAAATGGTAGCTTAGCAAGTGGTTAGAGGAGGTTTCTAATGGATCATTGAGTGTTACAGTGTTCTTGACAAAAAAACAGTGCTTTGTTTCTCATTTTTTGTGAGGTAGCAGTGTGCTTTATTCTGAGATATAGTTACATGAGGTCTTTACAGGAACATGCGAAGATTTCAATTGCAGTAGCATAGAAAGAATGAAAAAATACTAGCTTCTCAAGAATTTGATATGATAATGCTGCATATATGCTTTTTTCTTTCCTGATCTGCAATGTAGGTTCAATGTTGGATATAATAAAGTATATTGTCAACAGAGGAGAACACAAAAATGGTGTCCTTGAAGAACCCATAATAGCAACAATTCTTAAAGAAGTTTTGGAGGGCTTAGACTATCTACACAGAAATGGGCAAATTCACAGGTAGGAGCATATATGCAGTTAAAAGCTTTTTCAAAGTTTTGTGTATAGTTTGTTGATACCGGTCAGCTGCAGTTGCTTGGCTAAGCAAATTGTATTGCCTCTTTCACATACTGTAAATGCGATCAGTAATTATCAAATGGTAACGCTTGTAATCTTGACTGTGGGTTGTCATTAATACTTCCCTGGTCTTTATCCTGTCCATCTCTCCTATAGTTAGGATAGCTCTGTGCTGCACTAAGTATGCAAGAACTGTGGTCTATACTCCTGTGCCTGCTGGTACTCCAAATATCTAATCTGAATCTAGTTTATATGATGTGGTCTGTGACTTGGTTATTGTGTTGCACAGTACCTGTAATCTTGGGCACTCAGGCACTGCTGTATAAATGTGAAATTTACTTTTTCCTTGTAATCAGTAATGTCTATTGCAACTCTACAGACCTCTCTTGATGACCTCGTATGAAGCTGGGATTGGTATTCTGGAAACGCATTTTGGTGTATATGCATCTAGTGGTTGTTCTCTTGTACATATTCTCTGTCCACTGACTTCCTCATTGTAAATTGTGCAGATCCCCCAGGGTGGTCTATACATATCTGCTGTAGCAATCCAGAGGTTGCTTCCAGTGTTTGAATGTTGGAAGCGCTGTACTCTGACCTCTCCAGTTTTGCTGAGGTGAATTTGCCTATTAAGGAAGGTGCCTACAACGGGATCTGCCTGTTTCAAGCATTAGCCTCGTATAAGGGAATCTTTTCTACCTGCAGCAAATCTGTTTTTTGTTTAACTCTGAGAATGGAGGTAGTGCAGATGTAGCACAGTAATTGTTCTTTATGTGTACTTCTTATGTCTCATCTTATAAATGAACTGCCTCTGATGTAAATCAAGAACTATTTCCTCCTTTTGCAGGGAGAAAATTGAGATAAATTGAGAAATTAAGAACAATTATCTTGACTTGTGGTCTGGAATGCCAAAGACCTGCCTCAAACCTTAATTCATAGTATTCTGTTAAGGTGATATTGTTGCAGAAGGAACATTCATTAGCTTTTAAGGATAACAGGACCCTTTGAAGTTGGATTTGGAAATTCCCCTTGTCTATTCTTAAAGGACCTTAAAAGAGATAGAGTTATGCTACATTTGAGATTTCTGCTTTTTTATAACTTCTAATTTGTAAATTGTGCAGTACCACAGAAGTCCTGTTCAAGACAATACAGTGTGCATTCCTTTTCTCACATATGTTGTAGGTGAAAGCTGTGGTAGTTCAGAGAATGCTGTATTTCACCTACCTTACCAGTTGGAAATGTTTCCGGAAATGTTTCCAGAATTGTTCTGGGATTTTGTTCTGTTGTTTCGGTATTTATGTATAAGGAAACAGGTTATGTTCTACCTCTCAGTAGAATGTGTTAATTATTTTCAGTAAATCTTGCAAAGATTTATTTGCTCAAATTCTTAATGTTTATGATATATTACGTATGAAAGATCCTGTGCATTAAGAATGGGATGCACATTTCTATCAAAAAAAATCAGCCGGAAAGGTTCCTTCTTAACATTATGTGTGAATAGTGTGTTAAATAAATATAGTTGACTATTAAGCACTTGCTGAATTTTTGGCAGATTCTTCATCATGGTACCCTACAGCAAAATATGGTTGCTATTCCTGAGCTTTAATAGCTTCATTGGGTAGAAATCTACAGTATATTTACCTTTCTTGAAGATGGGTCTTTTCTTGTAAGAGATCAAAAAGGAGAACTTTTTTCAACTTTTTTTTTATTAGTGGTGCAGTTGGATGTGAGAAAGCATTAATTCTTGTTTTAAAGATCTGAAAACTCTCAGTTTGTGAGATTATATTTATAAAAGGCAGTAAAACAGACTTTGGACCTAAATATTTCTGGTCTCAAAATCTGTCCCTGAATTCTGCTCATTTTATGCCAAAGCTCAATTTCAGTGGTCTTATACAAGAGAGAGAGTTTGCAAGAGTTTGAGTTCTGCACTCTGTTTTATTGTAAATCAGTTACATTTTATACTTCAGTTCCTGTTTCTGTCTTTTTAAATTGTAAAATGCTATCTTGTGAAACCAATTAGCATGCAATATTTATTTATTCATTTACTTACACAAAATGTGCACATATGGACTTTCTATACATAAAAGTAACCTCTGTTTGTACATTCTAGAGATTTGAAGGCGGGCAACATTCTTCTGGGTGAGGATGGCTCGGTACAAATAGCAGGTAATGGCAGTGGCAGAGTAATGGCTAAATAAAAGAAAAAGGTAATTGCAGCTGGATTAGGGGCTACAGATACTAGTTTTTCTGTTGGCTTTTAACTATTCTTCTTGGACTTCTGTAGCTGCAAGTTACCGGATTTCAGGATTCTTGGTTAATGACACATGATTTAGAAATTATTCAATATTTTTCTGTGTCCCATCAAATATATAAGGAAATCTTTTAATGTCCTCTTAATGTTTCCTTTTCTATCACCCCTGTATCTTAAATAGCTTACAAACAGTAGCAATTCATGTTTCTGTTCAGGTTTATTTCATTTATATCTGCAAGTAATAGCAATAGTTCTTGGGGATTCAAAAATCTGTATGTATTGCCTTTCATGAGAACCTTGGCTATAACTTAACTTGTCACTGAGATGCATGAGAGATACCTCACTAAGAATTATTTTTGGCATTTCTGCTATTTGTCTTGCAATGATATTGGTTGGATACAGTTTAGCATCTTAAGTATTTTCTGAATGTATCTATATGCTTCGGAGTGGTAGTCTGTAAGAATCAAATTATTTGGTCTTCATAAGAGCTTAAGTACTGAGCAAGACCCCATATCCTATCTCTTAAGTTAGTATCAGAGATCTGGAAAATAAAGCAAGCAGGTCGTGATACTTGCCCCCTCTCCCAGCATACTCCCCGGCCTTTCACAGTTTATATATAGCTCATGACCCAGCGATGAAAGCTTTGTTTTTAGTAGCCCTCAGTAATAAAAATGGGTATAGCCAAAAGTGCTTTCTTTATGTAAACAATGCTTTCAAAGTACTGTGTAAATGTATATTTTGAGGGCTTTAATATGCCAGTGTCTAAAGGCTATGAAACTGGACAGGAAAAGGTTGGCTGGCAAGTGAACCATTTACTAATTGGAGCCATTTTAAGCCTTCTGATTTGAGTTCAAGACTTTTTAAGTAGGTAGTCAATTTTACAGACTTGAATTTTAATAAGATACTTAATATTTATTTATTAATTTGATGATACCCTGCAGTTGTCTTCACTTTCAATAGCACTTTGGACAACTGCTTTGATTCTAGGTCTGTGTTGTTCGAGCATTTTTTTAGATCATCTCGTATTGTAAAGAAGTACATGTCCAGGCAGCCGGCCAACTTAATTAAAAATAATAATGACAACTAAAATGTTGAAAGATAAAATCTCATGAGCCATCTGAAATAAAGCTGTTGTCTTTAGATTGTTACTTTCACACATAATCAAATCTACTCTCCCAGTAATCAGATAACCTTCAAGCAACAGCTTCATTTATCTCTTTCTAGTTCAACTGTAGGGCTTGGTTTGTTGACCTTTTCCTCCTTTTTCTCTAGGCATCTTAATGAGTAAGGCTTTAATTGTGCTGCAGGGCTGTGGAAGTTCAGTGGCTGGAGAGATATGTCAAATGTGTCTTTCTGTGATGCATTATTTCACTACCAGGTTATTTCTGATCTTCAGGGGAAAAATGCAGTGTCAAGCTTGTTTCTTTGTTGGTGTGAGGCTGTTCTGTTTGGGACAGCTGAACATTGCATATTAACTGAAAGCCAATTTTGAATGTCAGAGAGGCTGAAATTCATCCTTTTTACATCTTTGTGCCTTGACAAAGTAAAATCTTCTTTCATCTTGGGAGAACAGATACCTAATAATTTTACTTCTTTTTTTATTTGCTAGAAAAACTTAGGTTCTGTTGACTGCTCGTTCTCCTGCACCCCAAGCTTCTATAATGAAAAGATGTATCCATAGCACACACTGCTAATATGTATGAGGAGTAATATTTGAAAAGACAGTTGCCCATTAGCGTTTCTGGGTTCTAAGGGGCTATGGCTCGCAAATGAAGCTTAGCCCAGTGTTTCTCTGACAAAAGATTTTGTGCACATATAGAAGAGCATAGATCTCGAAAGAATTGGGATAGCTCTACAGAGACCTCTGATATTACGGACCTTGGAAGTTCTGCACAGAAAATCTGCTCAGTCTTGGTGGGAAAGAGGAAAATACAGATTCTTTTTTTGTTTTGTTTAAATTGTGGAGACTTTAAAGTACAAAATTCCTCTCTACAGAACAGGAAACTTTTGATGTACACGCAAATATAATGTTTAATAGTCACTGCAGTTCCTCAGCTCCAACTTTCTACTTAAGACTATTGGGATTGTAACATCTGGTGCTTTGGGCAAACAAGATGATTGCTACTTCATCAGGGTTTCAGCCTTCTAAGCCTGAATTGCCAGGTGAAGGTCAGAATATCAAAGAAACCAGTAAAGAAACAAATATGTGAGATGAAATAAGGAGCATATAGCAAAGAGCAATTGTACACAGAGAATGGTGGAAGTGTAGAAGGTTTGGGCTGTGTGATGTGTTTAGTCCATACAAGAAATGACAGTTTTATTGAAATGTGTCAGAAAAAGAATGTGCATTTTGAGGAGTCTAGGCAGAAGATCCTCCTCATTGGTTTTGTGCGTAGGTGGCTGCGTGAACTTACGTATTGCACAAGTGGTTCTTGTGGTGTTCACTCCTGTGGTAATCCATACCCACAGAAATGTTTGGAAAAAATCTGGTTAAAAATAGGCAGACCCTATGCTTCAGATACTCAAGCCAAATGGAGGAGAAAGATTTATCAGGGACAGTTGTTTGGCAGCCGAAGCTTTCCTTGCCCAACCCCGTTCTTACAGGAGCTTGATGCTTTATTTCTCTTCCAGTCTTAACTGTAACCCTACACATGGCCTTGGTTGAGCCCGTAGGCTAAAGTCTACAGCCACTGTCAAGGTGGGAAAAGTAGGGGAGAAAAGGTTTTGCAGCCTGTGTCTTCCTGCAGCAGCTGCTTTGCAGCTGTAAATGTACAACAGTGTTTGACTAGTTCATAGTGAAATTTTCACCTGATTTAATTGAATACTCATCACATCTTTCTCAGTGAGGTGTTGCAATATTTCATTTTCAAGCTTATGCAGGAAGACAGTTTACTTAGTTAATGGATTGTTGAGTTTTTTGTTGGGTTTTTTTTTTCATTGCCTTCCCTCACTCATTTATATTTGTTCTTTGTTGTCCTTTTCAAAATTAATGTTATGTTAACAGGTAAAAACAGCAGTAGGGGAGCAAAGATTAAGTCAGAATTTTAGCTGTGCATCTCAGTTCCTGATAGCACCTGTAAACAATTGTCCAATACAAACTATTTATCTTTGGTACTAAAAGGACGTTAATTTTTTTCCATATCTCTATTTATTTTTCATTTCTGCCTCTGCAGCTTTTCCTCATATGCAATAGTTCTTCTTCAGAAAACTGTCACTAATACCAGCATTGATTTTTAGGACATTAAAAACTTAAAAGCAGGTGTTTCTGAGACTCTTTGTGCTTTTCAGAAATACAAAAAACCCCTTTCTATGCTGTAACTTACAGATTTTGGAGAAAAAAGGGATTTTTAAAATTTTTTTTTATTTTTTTTATTCATCAGGCAAGCTGCAAGGAAAATTAAAGAATGTTGCTTGAAGCTTGCTTCTTACTTGTATACTGTATTTCTGTGTATTTTAATGATGTAGAAGGGGTCCACAATTTGAGTCTGTGATGCTTAATGGTTGTTTAGTGGAAAGTAATGATGAGACTGTTTGCTGTAGTTGCTGGTTTTATTTTTCAACCTTAAAATCAAGGAACAATAGGAAAATAAAAATTGAAGTAGATCTATAGTAAAATATGTGATTTCAGTATAGCTATATAACACAGCCTAACATACTCTTCATATAGCTCTAGTCAAAATGACAGTATTTCTCCGTATATTGGTAATCTGCTTTTCTTTCTTCCATTTATCCCTGACTCCTTACATAAGGCTATCACTGTTGTAGTGACAGATTAACAGAACACTAAGATTTTTTGCTATTTTGGAATTTGGAAAAAACTATTAATGTCATGGTTTACTATTAAATAAATTGTTGATCACTTTGCTGATAATCTTTGATTTGTCAAATCTCCATAAGTATTTAAGTTATAGTCTTCCTTCTTGTTCAAAATGCATTCAAATTTAGTAGCTATACAGAAGCTAGGTCTTATCTTTAACAGTAGCAGATGCAAATCTTTGAAACCTTGGCTCAGAGTGCACATTTGAAAACCTTAGGTGATGGATGTACTGGAGTCCGCTGTAACCATATTCAGGAATACAGATAGGATGTCCTAGTGCAGATCTCCCAGATAAAACTATACCATCTATTCTGTAACATTTCAAGAACAATGTGTCATGAAACAAAAGTAAGTTCTGCCGTGGAGAGTTTCTATAAGTAGACCTTTATGAATTGACTTAATTTCTAAAGTGTAAAACTGTTGCTTTGTTATTGGTAGTTTAACAGATTTCAACTTTTTTCCCCTTCCCAGATTTTGGCGTTAGTGCATTTTTAGCAACAGGAGGTGATGTTACTCGTAACAAAGTAAGGAAAACATTTGTTGGTACTCCATGTTGGATGGCCCCTGAAGTAATGGAGCAGGTATTCCTAATTCCTAAAAAAAAAAAAATATATATATTTTCAGTCTTTAATTTTTGGAACTTGAGACATTACCACCTTATTTTTCCTTTCTGATTCTATACCAGGTGCGAGGTTATGACTTCAAGGCTGATATGTGGAGTTTTGGGATAACAGCCATTGAATTAGCAACAGGAGCAGCACCTTATCACAAATACCCTCCTATGAAAGTAACGATCACTTTGTATTACTTAATGCTGTTAGCTGTGTTATTAATGCTGCTAGATAGTTAGCACTACTTCATTTTCAGTAGCAACTCAAGATATCTAAATATCTATATTCTGTGGAATACTTTATTCTCTTTTCATTTCTACATGTTTTGAATTGATTTTGCTTATAGTATCTCTTTTTTGGGTTTACTGTAGGTGTTAATGCTGACACTTCAAAATGATCCTCCCACTTTAGAGACAGGTGTAGAGGACAAGGAGATGATGAAAAAGTATGGCAAATCCTTTAGAAAACTAATTTCATTATGTCTTCAAAAAGATCCTTCCAAAAGGTAGGTCATTATTGCCATGTACAGAGGAATTAGTTTTTTAAATACACAGACTGCTGAAAATTTTAGTGTTTAAACATCATCTTTAAGTGTATGATTTGAATTTTGTAAGTAGCAGCCTTCAGTCATCTTCATCTGGGGAGAAGAAATTACCTCTTAATTGTTGCTTAAGTTTTCTTCTTCTGCATTGTTAACCTAATTTATTTATATTTAAATGTACTGTTGAATTAAAATCTGATCAAACAAAAGTCCTTGCTCTACATCTTAAATTCACATCTGAGGCAAGATATAAATCTTGATAATGTGCATAAGTCTAATAATACTGTTCAGATTGATCAGACAGAACTGTTGGTAACCAAACATATCAGTCTCTTGGCTTTTAAAAGAACTTAAAAATAAATAAATAATTTTATGTTGATTTTTCTTACTTTGTGACATAACTTAGTATTGCCTTTAACTTGGATATTTCCAGAGAAAATTACTTATTAAGAGGCATTTTTTTTTAGTGTAAAGTTAGTGGCTCCAAGCTTGTTTAAAGCTTTCCCTATGTTTACATAGGCAATTGCATGTCATGGTATCTTTGTGATTTGTTCTTTCTTGCTATGTTTTGTGAATGGCATAGCCAAGATGATGAAAATATTAAACATCTATTCTAAACCTATTGAGGTCCCAAGTTCCCAGAACAATTGTTTATTTATCCTTTATTCATTTTTATGCAGACCCATTTTTGTGGGTTTCTTTTGCTGAAGAGTTGGAGGAGGCACTTTCTAATTAACATTATTTCCTAAGGGTATTTAGTGTATCACTTTTTTTTAAGAGTTTCAGAGCTGGTATTTCTGGGAATAAAATTGTTCTGAGAGCGCAAGCCTGGTTGAGTACTATGTGGGTCTTCTATGGTGTGTACTTCACTGATGTTATGCTAGCTTAAGTCCAGGATACTGTTGTAGGGAGTCAGGTTGAAAAGGTGACAGCAGCAATACTAGAGAACAAGTATAATTAAGAAAAAAGATTACATGGCAACATCTTTACTCTTGAAGTCCTTTAATTTTTTTTTTTTTTTTTTTTTCCACTGAAGGATCATTTGTGTACAGTTTCCCAAACCCTTACAATTGGTGGGCTTAGTAGCAAGTCCTGATGCTTTAAGCTTAGCACTGCAGTTTGGCTGCTTACAGATAAGAATGAAATGTGTTCTGGATAATCAAGCTGCTTTTCATTTCCAGTGTCCAGCAATTTTCAGGGCAAGATTACATTGGTGTGAAAACCTGAGAAGTAAATAATTAAAATGGTTTTCCCTCTCTCCTTGAATACATAGTGCTGAGTTACCTGATTTGTAATTATGACATCAGTGTTGAGACATCAGTGTTTAATTACACTAATTTATTACACTGATATTTAAACATGTGCATTATCTTCATACTCAGGATTGCCTTGAATTGAACCATTAGATAGGTGATCAGATCTGTGTGCCAGTTACTCTGAGGAGCGAGTGTCCTTATACTATGTGGTCATTGCTATTTTTCATGTTTCTCCCAAGCCAGGAGTTAATTTTGCACAGACGTACCTCCATAGTCATTGTGCCAGTTGTGGGAGAAGTGGCTGCTCTTTGTGGCAAATTGTAGAACTGGCATTGCGCTATTGTTGTCTCAGACCATGATGTTTTCTTTTGGGGATCTGTGTGTGGGTGTTTCTCTCTCTCCCCAGTGCCAAGGATGCTGCTTACAGTCCTCAGCTGCAATTCACTGCCATGGCCTGTGTGGAAAACAGGCCCAGAAAGCATGCCCAGACCAGTTCAGAAGTGTCTGGCATAATTAATGGTAGAGGAACGGAGAACACTAGTTTGGATAAAACTTTACTAAGACTCTAGCTTTTACCTGTGCATATCCCTGTTACGAGATGTGATAGTACTGGATCACTGAAACTTGTCTTAAGAGTTAATTTGAGATAGAACTTTAAAACTTTGACATAGAAACTGATTTTTTTTTTTTTTTTTAATGCTCCTCTTCCTTTTTGCTCATCCAAGATTTATGTGTGAATTACTGCTAAGCCTGGTGGTCTCCACAGTACCACTACTAAGAACTCCTTCATTGTAGGGTTTGGTGCTTTGGAGGGGAAGAAAAATAAGTGCTCTGTGGAACTACTATCTGTGTCTAAATTGGATGCTTTTTATTGATGTCAGGAGTTTCTTCATTATTTCTAGCAGGAGTGAACCGATATATACATGCACACTACTTACTACTCCTCTTTCTTCACTTATTCTTCAGATGTGTCCTCAGAGAAATAAACTACTTCAAATTTTGGGTTGTTTTTGGTTTTTTTTTAAGACTGAAATGTTCCAAATTGAAATTTTCCACTGTCTTACCTAGTATGTGCTATAAGTTCGGTTACATTCATACAGTCACTTGGGGAAGAACATGTTACCTCTTTTTCTTTTTTTTTTTTCTCTTTTTTTTTTCTTCCTTCCCATTTGTTTGTTTTAAAGGTAAAACACATTTCTGTTGAAAGAAAAAGGGAAAAATTGGCAACTTAGACTGATTTTTTTTCCTTTTTTTTTATATTTTTGCCATAGGGAGGCTTAATTTTTTCATGTGTGGTAAGTGAGTACGTGTGAATTAATTCAATAGCTATTATCATTCATTCCCCATTCATACAGTACTAATTCAAAAGTTTTAGAGACGTACCATTTAACTAACGTCTTGTACTGTATTCACTGAGGGGGGTCTTTGTTTTCTGTTCTAATTTATTATTGATCTTTCAGGCCCACAGCAGCAGAACTTTTAAAATGCAAATTTTTCCAGAAAGCCAAGGTAAAACGTTTAACCCTACGAGTACATTTTGCTCTGTCTTAAAATCTACACGAAATTTCTTCTTTCCTTGTATTGATTTTTAACTTACCAAATGTTGGTTTTGCAGAATAGAGAATACCTGATTGAAAAGCTTCTCACTAGAACGCCTAATATAGCACAAAGAGCAAAAAAGGTGAGTGTATTAACATCTTTTTCTTGACTGGTATGCAAGAGAAAGCAGGGACTTTCAGTTGCCTTACATTTTAGTTGACTGACTGAGCCATTCTTTTATGCAGTCCTTCAAAGATAGTGACTGTTGAATGAATGGTTTCTCTAGCCTAGCTTTCTCTAGGAAGCCCTGGGGCATTTTGACTCCCTTACTGGCCTTGCCAAAGTGATACGTGGTATTTGTCATCATAGATGATAATGATTTTCTCCTACTCCCTTTTAGAAAGCTACAGGTGAAATGATTGTGCAAATAAAAAGTGATCTATGGACGTATAGGTTCATAAACTGCAGAATTCATATCTTCATTGATCGCCTAGAGAAAGGCTGAAGATACTATAGATGGTATTTATTGAGGACTACCTTGTTCTTTGGATTATTTCAAATGTGACGCTCAAATGTATGGAAGTCTAGTCCAAACTCTGCAGGAGTGCTGCTGAGTTATTCAGACCAGTGGAGCCTTATCCCACAGGATATGGAGTGAAGCATATGCTGGTGTTTCTGTGGTGCCTTTGGCACTTGCATAAATGAGCTTACCAGGTCACGTGCAGCAGAACTAAAAAAAAAAAAAAAAATCATAACAGGTAAGTATTTTAAAACTTAAGTATGAAGGAAGCTACTGTTGATAAGAGCCAGTAAACAGGAATGAATGTAGACTTCTGCTTATTGTGTGTGAGAAATTATGGAACTCCCTTTTTGTGGTGACTGAACTCACCATGTCTCTTCAGTATGAGGAACCTGTGCAGAGATTGCTGAGTCTCTGCAGGTGACAGAGTAGCATGCTGAGTCCAGCTTTATAAAAGCAGGCTTTCTGGGAGAATGGTTCGAGGAGGGCACTTCAGGAAGGGAACTGTTTCAGCCTTTGTTGGCACATCAGTTATACTTCAGTTACCTGGATGGACACTTGTAAGATTTTCTGTTGTCTTTGTGAATATCAGTTTGGCATAATTCTGCAACACTGAATTGTTCCTACAGCTGGTGGCCTGTACTTGGAAGAGACTGTCAGCAAGATCTGAACGCTTTAAGTACCTTCGAGTCTTCTTTTAGGTGGAAGCAACTTGGGAAATCAGTGGAAGTGATGGGACTTTGTGAGAGGCTGGAGTAGAAAACTCAAATCAGAGGGCTTGTAGAAGGGGTAGTGTGCTGAGCAGGTTGGCATCTGCAAGGTGCAGAAAGGCAGGTGTATTTTAGCTGTTTGGCCATGTGGTGGCAGCAATGCCCACATAAAAGATTATCTAACTGGGGGAAAAATCATAGTCGATTGATTTTCGTTTTACATCTTGGGCCATACAGGAGTAATTTAGACATGTTCTAGTACCAACTAGGTTTCTGATAGAGCATGTGCCTTGTGAGATTCATCTTCCAGTTGTGTCCTCAGGTCTACTTTAGAGACTGCGTGTTCGCTCATACATGCATGCATGCATGTATACTTATTTCTTTAAATAACTTAGAATCTGGAATTGCAAAATGAATGCAGGGTAGCCTCCCATACACCACCAGTTTTCTGAATGACTTTTTGGACAATTCTTTATAATGTAGAAGAGGAGTAATTCTTAAGAAATCAAAGCTGTACAGTGCTAGAGACAAATTAATAGGTCTTTTAATTACAGCATAAATGGAACGATATTTAGGTTTTAGCTAGTGAAAGTGCTGGATTATTTATATTTTAAAAGGACACTATTAAAATTCATCAGGGATTTAAAATTTAATTCACTTGTTACAACTTTGCATGTAGCTGCTGTTTTAAGATGCCATAAAATATAAATGTATTTTAATATTAAAATGGTGGGGGTTTATTTAAAAAAGCTTGTGTGAGTAGGGTTGGATTGCTTAAACATTAACATGTAAAAACTCTAGGAGGTCACTCATGGAAGAAGTAACCCCTGTAATGGAAAAAAGAATGTCACTAGGGCAAGAGATGGGAAGGAGCTGGTGTCATCACTGCTTTAAATTATCTTCTGTAGCACTTGGTGTGAAATGCCTATAACTAATGATCTGTTGCACTGCTGCTAGCACAGATGTCAGATCTGCCCTGCAGTAATTTAATTTCTCTTGCATCTACCACATGTATAATTACTTTGCCTTGTTGCCCAGAACTCCAGCCTCAGTTTAATTTTAACTTTGAATTCTTTTCTCTTGACATAGTGTTCTCATGTTTTTCTTCTGTCTTTACAGCTTATTTGGCAACTGTTTTGACTAAATATGAGTTCAGGTCTGTTTGTGAAATCCTGAAAGCAGGTACACGTGGTCTTGTGTGTGTGAGGAAAACATTTGATGCTGTAAAAATGTGTGCTGTTTTAAAACCCAATTTGATAATTAAACAACACCTACATTGTGTGTTTAAAATACTGTTTAACATCAGAGTTGTAAACAACATCTTTGTGCCTGTATTCCCCCTGTCCCAGTGTTTCTTTATTTGCTTTTAATTCTGCTCATTTTGAAATGATGCCCTTCTTCCTGGCCCTGCCCTAGTAATGAAGGATAATACTGAAACATTTCAGGAATTGCCTTGCCCGGGAGGAAAGTGTCTTGCCTCTTCTCGTGCAGAACCTGCCTAAGTGTATACTGGTACTGATCCGCAGAAATGAGTGTTACGCCATGTAACTTCTTACTGGCAATTTTGAGTTTCATTAATGTGACTGCTCACTTATGAGAGCATTGTTGGTGTCAAGAAGAACTGGAGAAAAGACTGTGGTGAATGCTCCGAGCTCAGTGTGGTCTGGTAAGCGGGAACATGCTCTGAGGCTGCACTTCTATCACTGATAGAAATGTGGGAGCCCTGATTGCAGCCTCTGCCTTGTAGGTGGTGTGATGGTAGAGTAGCCTGCCCTGTCCTGCTTGGATCAGGGTTGTGTACGCCCCTGTTACATAACAGCTCAGCAATGGTTTAGATGCAGTATTTATGCACACGTGTTGAAGTAGTTTTAATTTTGAACTGAATGCTAAGTAGTTTCATTTGTGATTAGAAATGCTATATTGTAATAGAGGAAATTTGAAACAGCTTCCAGAATTCCACAGTCAGTTTTGAAATCTTGTCACACTAAAAAATTAATTATAACTGTAAATACTCTGTATGCCCAAAGGCCCTGGGTCAATTTTGTGGTTTTATAATCCTGTTTCTTTAATTTTGAAAACCTCCTGCATGACTGCTACTTCTAAAAAGTGAACAGGGAAAAACATGTATCTGCATTTCATTTTATTGCTGTCTGAAGTGCTGCTAGTAAAAAAAAAAAAATCTGAGTAATAATTGGGCTTGAATTCTAGTTTTGGGAAGGTGGTATTGCTCTGCACTGTTAATAGAAGCTCTTTAGACCTCAGAGTTGTAAGCTACTGGGAAAAACGTGTGACAGCATAAAGAGATGATTAGTATGATACCAGTTTTTATTAAAAGTCCAGTAGAAATAGTCTTCCTGATGGGTTGGAATTGTAGCTCTGCAGTACAGCTAATTTAGGGAAATGGTCATGTTACCTTATAGAAAAAAATAACAATCCCCTGCATTTAATGAGGAAAATGTAATTAGATCCCAGATTTCTTGGACAACTCTAACATCATGATTGCTCCTCAGCAAGTCATACATATGCACCGTTTCCTTGTTTCAGTAATGGATTTAATCTGATGATACACCTCACCAATGACGTGTGTTAGTACTACTGGACTCCAGACTTTTCAAAAAGCAGAGAGCAACATTAGTTTGAGCTCAGATTATTAGTAAAAACGTACATTCATTGCTATGACTCCTTACACTTTAAGATATACTTATTTCATTAATACTGATGTATGAAGAGAAGGGACATGGGCTACACTGGAACACTTTTTCTGGAAAACAGCAGCTGAACTATAAGTATGTATTTGGCAAGACTTTGTGTGTGGGAGGCCCCTCCATCGCAGAGGATTAATTGTTCAGTTTACCCATAACAGTGCTACACATGAAAAAAATAGTGCAACTGTTCTTATATTGTTGGGTATTACTAGAAAAAATAGAGGAGAAATTGGTATTCAGACCATGTTGGCTTTTTTTTGTTTATTTTCAAGAAGTTGTTGGAAGTAAAATTTAATGGAAACGCTTTTTCCACAAAATGTAGATTTCGAGAAAAAGTCACGTAATCAGAAAGCAGTGCCTGTGTTAGTGGGTAGTAGAAGTGGAAAGTGTTTTAAGGGGCCCTCATGCAGTTGCATGAACTTTGTTTTAACATTTCAGATAAAGGAAAAAGATTGATGTCAGCATTTCTGCCAGGTGTACTTAAATGCAGTTGTGACATAAGATATAAGGAACTTCATACAGTATATGAGTTTGTCCATCCTTTCTTTCATAGGGTGCTTTTGCCATGTGTATAGAGTTTGTGAGGTTGGATTTTTGTGTCTTCTGAAATGGAGCTAATCTAGTACAGAATAGGTGAGCTTTAAAACAAAACTATGGAATAGTTGGCTCAGTTGAGTGTCTTTTCTACTTCTAGAAACATCTACTAGATGATACTACTAACATCTACTAGATATGACTAGATAAGCAGATAGCTCTACAATAACTTGTGTTACTTGTTTTGACAGGGTTTGACAGCTCACACATCATTTATCTCAATCGTTGAAAAGTAACCCTCTCCTGTATTGGATAGTGTATCCTAGTTCATGGGCTATCATAGTTCAACTTCAGAATTCATTTGTGCAGTGAATGAGTCACTGTCTCTTGTGTAACAGCATTGATCTGCTTATTTGCTAACATTGTGTTCGTGACCTGTTGACTTGTTCAAAAATGTCTAGAACATGGACTAACACCAGGTTGGTGTATAGTGAGAACTTTTCTGAGTAGACCAGTAGCTTTAAGTATTCGGCATTTATCATCTAAGCTGTTGAAACTTTCAGTACTGGAGGAGGGTTTCATTACTGTGAAATGCAAGTGTAGGGTATTCTTAAAGGTGTGGTTGGAAGAGTCCTGGTTAAAGAGTCAAGACAGGGTAAAGGAAGTCCAGGCG